ACCTTGTCCTTGGTCTTTAAATATCTACTGAAATTTTCAGAACTCCATGACCTAATCTGAACCAAGTCTTATATACCATTCTCAACTATACAAAACCTATTGTCAACATCCTCTTAAAAACCTGGCAGTTCCCTAAATACATACTTACATAAAAAAATTGTCTGACTAAACACAAACACACACAGATAAATTGAACCAATAGTCATCTTTTTTTAAATACTAGTTTGCAATCTTTGTTGTTGTGTACCGTAGAATTAGAACTGACCTATAGCTGACCCTTCAGTCGGTTTTCAGAGGCAGTTAATTGCATGGAAGATTGCCCTTCCTTCTTCCATGGAGCAGCTAGTAGATTCGAACCACATGCCTTTGAGATTGCAGTGCACCTTCTTACCACTAGGCCACCAGAGCTCCACCAAAGCTCTTATCAGTGTCTTTATGGGTATGTAAATGTGAGGATAATACTTTACAAAATTCTAGGCTCTGTATCAAAGCTTCTAAATATGACTTTTCAGTGGGTATAACCACAGATTTAAAAACAAGCAATAAACAGAACAACATACAACAATAACAAAACTCTTCGTAAGTTTCCTACTTAGAGGTAAATAAAGGTAATTTTGGACAGGTCCCTGATGACAACAAAGTCTTCTCTATTAAACCTATATGTTTACCATTTTAAAAAAGAAACCTTTTTTTATGTCTATGCATTCACTTTCTTTGGCGATGTTTTGCCTAAGAAAAATAACAAATTAATCATGTGTGCATATTCTTTAAATATATGTAAAAAAAATACATAACACGTGATTATTTATGTATATTCATATATATCTGAATACACACATACATTTTAATTATATACTTTAACATATATTTATGTATATACAAAATATATATAAATAAATGTGAGCACTTTCCCCCTCAGCTGTAATGGTAATAAAATAAGGTTTCTTTACAAGCAATAGAATCATAGATTTAAAAAAATGCTACTGAGGAAGTGGCGGTGCGAGGGCTGTTGCACAGCTAGAAGAGCCGCTGCGGTCTGGACGGTAGCGCGTGCCCCGAGCCCTATGCATCCCCCGCCCGCCAGACCGAGGCAGCAGGAGCTCTACCCGAGGCCCCAGCAACAACACTTAGAACAGTCCAATAGAAGAGACATGGCCGGGTGGAAAGCCTACATCGACAACCTCAAGGTGGATGGGACCTGTCAGGACGCGGCCATCGTGGGCTATAAGAACTCGCCCTCCGTCTGGGCCGCAGTCCCCGAGAAAACCTTCGTTAATCACGCCACTTGAGGTTGGAGTTCTTGTTGGCAAAGACCGGTCAGGTTTTCTTGTGAATGGGCTGCCACTTGAGGGCCAAAAATGTTCTGTGATCCGGGACTCACTGCTAGTGGATGGGGAATATACCATGGATCTTCGCACCAAGAGTACTGGTGGAGCACCTACCTTCAACCTTACTATCACCATGATTGCCAAGACGCTAGTCCTGCTGATAGGCAAAGAAGGTGTCCACGGTAGTTTGATCAACAAGAAATGTTATGAAATGGCCTCTCACCTGTGCCCAGTACTGACCTCGTCTGCCCCTTACCCCACCACTCCCCACTGCTTTTGCACCCCTATCCTTCCCATACACATACACCATTTTTATTTTTTGGGGCCATTACCCCACATCCTTTATTGCTGCCAAAACCATATGGGCAGGGGGCAGGACTGGATGGACAGATACCTCCCCCTACCCATACCCCTCCTGTGTGTGGTTCGAAACTTTTTGTTTTTTGGGGTTTTTTTCTGAATAAAAAAAAGATTCTACTAAAAAAATGCTATTGTTGTTATTGGTTGTCTTCGAGTTGAGCACGACTCAAAGCCAACCTATGAACAAAAGGCCTGAAGCCTTTCTATAACTATCTAACTATCGACAATTATCAAAGTTCATGGAGTTTCTAGAGGCATGTTGTTTAGGGAAGTAGATGTCACTCCTCTTTCCAAACCTGTCTTAAATTGGGAGCTCCACCAAACACTGTCCACCATCGGTAACTACTAAAAATGCCATTAACATATATTTCTTTTTTCATTAAAGATCTTCAGTTCAGAAGCAATTTGCTAGTCAGAATTAAATTATTAAGACCATGAAAGTAATGAATATACTTTAAAATATTAATTCAAATTATTATCCTTATTTCACCCTCCATGCTCACAATCTTCTGGACCTCTCATTTATAGAGTAAGGAATAGCTGAATTCTTTTTAACTCTTTTTAAAAGTTTAGGGTTATAAAATGATTTAGTTATTAATATTGAGCTCACCATCAAGTGTCTTATATCCTCATCCCTTTCCAACCCCATTCTGGTTCAAAATTGCCAAGAAAGGCTGCAATTTGCTTATCCCACAGATTTAAAAGGAAGAATGAGACTCAGAAAAGTAAAGTAGTCCTCAGGAGAATATTATATTATATTGAAAAATCAATCAGTACACTTTCATTGGGAAAGTTTTAAAAATTTTATTACCTTAGAGTTGTACTTTAGCTGTAAAATTAAGTTTTATTACTCAAATAATGTGACTTTATGATTATCTGTTGTATTTTCTAAAAATAGATTATAAATTTCATTGTCAAGACTCATTTTGAAATTTATTTTCCTGTATTTTCACATTGTGCTATTTAAAAAAACAAAACAAAACAAAAAAAAATTAAGGATTAAACCAGCTTAGTGTTAGCATTTAAGAATAAAGCTAATAAAGCTTTCCAGTGGACATTACTTATCACTGGGTAGCCACTGCTTTGCAAAATATAAAAGTACACTTAGGATTTCTGAACTAACTTGCTTGTGTAAACTGTTACAATTCAAATACAGTGAACTGGTTTTGAGTAAATAATATTAAGACAAATCTTAATTTCAAGTTATGATTAATTAAAGCTGAGGGGGAAGAAGAGTAATTGTAGTTACAATAATTCTGTAAAACATGCTTTCTTTGCGTCTTATATGATGGAAAAAATTGAGAATATTCCTCAATATAAACAAGCTTATAAAAAGCACTTTTTATTTTTAGAAGGGAAAATCTTTAAAAATTTTCTTTAGAGAAATTTAACTATGTGTAACAAGTATTAGAAAAAATAATTTTTTGGGGAAAAAAAACAAGTGAGGGAACTCAAATAAACTGACCTTGACAATGAACAACAACAACAAAAAGTCGAAGTTAATTTTATTCTAGTATCAATTCAGAGTTTAGAAATGGTTTCTTCTAAATTCTAGAAGACAATTTAAAAAACAAAATAAAAAACCAGATCAATGTAACTATATAGCAAGTGCCTAAACTTTTGCTGGCTGCTAGTCTTCCTTTACTACTAGGAAAAGCAAAGTAAAGGTTGGGAGGGAATAAACTTCTGAGCAGACATGAGAGTGGGTATTTTTAAATTTAAAAAAGCTCTGAATTGAACCTTACAGAGTAAATTCACTGTTTTTGAAAGGAACAGTTTTTGCAAAAACCAGTTAAAGGGACCCCAACTCAAGAAGCCAAACATAATATGTATTGTGTTGGCAGTTGGTTCTAATTTAAGATAAAGCTCAAAAGACTTTCTAGACAATATACATTTATTTTTTTTAAAAAAATTACTGTCCTGCTAAACGATGTAAATAACCTATTGGATGAATGAGAATAAGCATAATAAATAATTCATGTTTCTATTATATAAAATAAAATGGCACCAGAAATCAAGCAATGGTAATTGGTTAAGGCAGTTAATTTCCGTTTTCTGTGTTCTAAAAACTGGGTTGCTGAAATAATGCAGTCTCTTTTCTCAAGATTAGGAATATATCTGAATTTTTAAAAAGAGAAAACAAAACCAAAAACAGCCCAGTAAGAAGAAAGAAGGCACAAAATATCTGCAACTTTTTAATTACTGACAACTCAAATTTCCCACTGGTTTATGGTTTTAGAAATTCTCTGAATTAGCCAAATCTACTCTAACCTAATATGCATTTTTAAATAAATAATAGTACACTATTTTTTCTGTCTGAATCAGAGATTCCTATTATCCTTTCGTTTAGGCAACGAATTTTATCTTAGTTTTAACAGACATTCCATTTTAATTAAGGTGAAGAAAAACTAGCAGTGACAGGAATATTTAATAATATGAACAAAATAAATGAAAAATCAACCCTGCAACAAATGTAAACTCTGATGTTATGAATCTGTTTCAATTTTCATATTCTTAACTGAGGCTCAAATTTCTCAGGTTCTGAAAAAGAACAAAAGGCAACCCCATCTTAAGAAATTCGATCTCCCAGTATTTTTCCAGCTTAAACTCCCTGGTTTGGAGCTGAAATAGTCATTATTTAATTGCAAAATTCTTAGGACTGCTGCTCTTTTCCCAGAAGTTCTAACAACCATATGATCTAGAGCTGTCCCCATGGACATTTAAGTATAAAGAAACACCATAACTATGGCAGAACCACAGAGACATTCAGAGTGGGCCAGGAAGAATGTAAACTCATGCAGGCAGTCTATTCAAACTTGGAGCACAGTCACCTCACACTCAAAAGAATGAACTCCAAATTTTATGTGGCTCTCAAGTTGTGACCACTATTTACTGCTTTATGGCATGGTCTTGCTGTTAGGCTTCACATCACCACTGCAGATTTCACATCTACAGTCATGGCTTGCTTATTCCCTATATTCTAGTCATATAAACATCCACTTCCCTTCTGAATGGGAAAAACCTCTGGGGCTAGTAGTTACGATTTAGAAAGATGTATTATTTGAAAGAAATTTTATTATATAAGGCTGTCAATACTTTGTGGAACACATATATAAACAAGAACAAAAGTACTCAAAATTAAGATTAGAAATTTCCATGTACTCCTAGGTCATAAAATTCCATATATTTATAATTCTGCAAGAGTAACTTATAAAATTAATTCACTGGCCTGTAATACAACCTTATTTTTCCAATTTCCCCATTACTAGATTTTTTAATGTAGTATTAATTTCAAACAACCATACAACTTACCCGCACAAGTGCATCATCTATGATATGATCACGTCTGACTTTGAGTCTCAAATATGGGTTCAACTGCTGTCCTTGAACTAAACTGTAGAGAACAGTGATTCTTCGTTCACTGTACATGCGAATTCTATTGTCGTAATATAATCCCAAATTCTTTGTGACAGCATTCAATATAAAGGGACATGTCATAAAAGAGAATTTGTTTTCTGTTTCTACCTTGAAAAAAGTATAATCTTTGTCCATTTCTAGAACATCATTCAAAGGTTCATTAATAAACTCTTCAAAGGGGATAAGTGGTTTTCGACAATCTAGAGTTTTAACACCAAGTTCAGTTTCCAATGGATCTACTCGAGGCCCTTTCTTGTTTCTTCTTTCCTCTCCCAATAGCTCCTGAAGAGTCAATTCACTGGACTCTGGAATGGGCTCTTCATCATCTTCTTCATTATGATTTGTGTCTACTTCTCCTCCCACTACATTTGCATAGTAAACCATTTTCAAGCACTTTGAAGCGGCAACAATGGCATCATCATCATTCACTAGATTTCTATTGTTAAATTCATTACTTATGACTTTGTAAGTAATAAGTTGCTGAAACGTTTCCATCATTCTCCGAATCTGCTCTGCATTGTATTTGGACCACAGTCTAACTAGTTTCCCTTGGGCTGCAAGGGGAAGCTTGCTCATTGCTTTGCAAAACAATGGTAAAGCCATTTCCAGATATTCAGGACTATGAAGATTTCCATTCTCCATTACAATAATGAATAAATTCAGGTAATTAGGATCTCGGGAGTACACATTGTGATAGGTCAAATCACATTCCACATTAGGTGACAAGTATACAAGTGCATTAAGAAAGGCAGTTTCTATTTTTTCATTAGAGAGTAATCTGGTGTAGACTCTTCTAATGGCATCAACATCCACAGATACATCATCTGGGCCTAGTTTTTGTAAACTGTTCTCTCCCTCAGAGCTATCATCTATCCTTGAGGAGGAGGCTTCTGAATCTTCTTCCATAGCAGCAGCAGAACACGCAGCTTTTTCCTTTTCATCTTCATCTTTATCTTCATCTTTACCTTGAAGTGATTTCAGTTCTTCCTTGGTGTGTTGTCTGACTTTCCGAAAGCTCTGAACCAATGCCTCAGCACTAGAAAAAATTCTTCCAATAACACGAATTAAAGGGGAATAATCCTCTCTCTCTCTACACAATTCAAGAATTTCATATACTTTCTCTTCGGTTAGATAAGTGACATCTAGAAAATTGAAGAAAAAAAGAGACATTTATTTTTAACATATACATAAATTTACTTTAGTGAGTTTTAATGAAATGTCAAACAAATATTTTGCAATTAATAAAACCTCAAAACCAAATTCAGAGAAAAATCAACCCTGTAAGAAAGCACAGAATGCCCAAAGAGCTACTAATATTTACAAAAGCAGACAGCCACATCTTTCTCCATTAGCTGGCTGGTTCAGTTACCAACAGTGTGGTTAGTAACCGAACACTTAACCAGTGCGCCACCAGGGCTCCTCTGCACTCAATATCACTGTGATTTACAACTTTTAATATCATGTTTTGATTCATCACAATATAAACCCTTAAAACTCTACTATAGCAGAAGCCCCTATTTTGAAGAATTTCATTCCTGTTTTACTATTTTGTTATCAAATTAAAAAGTCCCTCTTTTGAAAACAGCTCTTTCTCTACCACTGTATACTTTGTTGTTGTTTGGGGTTTTTGGCGGGCGGGGGGCGGGATGGGCACAGAAGAGTTTTTCTGGTTTTTTACTGAGAAGAATCAATAATTTCTCAAAAGCCCTATGGAACTGTCATCTGGAGATAAGAATCAGATTGGTATAAACCCTACAAAGCAGCAGGAAATAGGAATTGAGCAATAAAAAACAAAGTGAAAAAGAAGGGAAATAGTAAGCAGGCAAGTAAACGCAGAAAATACTATGTAGTTACCAAAGTGAAAGTCTACAAAACAGTTCGCTCTCCAAACAAATGGGGACAGACATGACTGACTCACATGTAGAGAAAACAATCACTTAAGATTTGTCAAGTTGTCTGTGAGTGAGTGAAGTCCTGTCTGACCCTGTGCCATTTTTACAATACACTCTGCTTGAGTGCATCGCTATAGCCTGCAAGGCTATAGCCACTGTGTCAATCCATCTGAAAGGCTTCCTGCTTTTTTTGTCATCAACTGTCATCAGTGTCTTTTTCTGTAGACTGGACTCTCCTATGCCAAGCCCAAAGTATGTGAAACAATCTTTCCATTCTCATCACTAAGTAGTACTCTGGTTGTACTTCTTTCAAGACAAATTTGGCACTTGTATAAAAAAATAAGCTAAGTAATATTATCATCTTCAAATTACACAAAGACTACACGTCTCTACAAATTATATTTTTTTTTCCAATTGTCAAAACTAGCATTTATTAGGGAGCTCAAATGGCACAGTCTGTAGAAAGCTGTGCTGCTAACCCAACGGCCATGCCCTCTTTAGCAGTTCAAATCTACCAACAGCTCCTTGGAAGAAAGACAGGAAATTTGCTTCCATGCTTTCTGCCTCTCTCTGAAAACCCTCTGGAGCATCAACTATGAGTCAGTTAAGACTTAATGACCGTGAGTGAATGATTATAAAACAATTTATTGTAACTAAAGCAACTTAAATTGCAACATATTGCAAACTAATATTTTATGATGAAATCACAGTCTTCACAATCAATTAAACTGAGTAACAATGATGGAGCTCTTCCCATTACAAAGAAATGATTTAGGTATTTTATTCAACACAAAGGAAACAAATGCTACTTTTTTGGTATTAACTTTTCATGGCAATTAAATTGCTCAAGAACATAATCCTGAGAACAGTGAATATATTCTGTAATCAAAGGAGTGAATGATCTGTTATTGATAGATCAACGTTTAAGCAAAAGAACATTTTAGAATCATGTAGATAATTTCACTTTCACTCTGCTAAATACATTGTTACATATATGTACTACGGTGTTATCACCACCCTATGAACCATAGTTTGGAATACAATGTACTATATACTATACAATATAAAAGGCAAAGTGATCACTGGCTGTATGGCTCATAGAAGTTGGTTTCTAAGAACAGCAAATTTTTTTAACAAATCCCTAATTTTGTTTGCTTTTCAGTAAGTTTAAATCCTCGAGGGATACAGCATTACACGGATTCTGTGTCCGATGGCCTTAGCAGGAAGGTTGCTCTGAAACTTGGCCTGAACCATGCCACTGTTTCCGTGGGCACGAGTTACCTTTTCACAGATTACTCTGGTTTTATTGGTTTTGCCACCAGGAGTCACTGTATTATTTTTTGCTTTGGAAACATAAGAACATTCCTTGCCTAAATAGAATTCTGTTTCATCTCGGGCATAAACACCTTCAATTTTAAGAAGAGCTGTGTGCTCCCTCTGGTTCCAGAGACCTCACTTATGGGCAGCAAAAGTGGCTTTGCACCAAAGCCTCCAAGCCATCTCTGTGGTTTAGAAGTTCTGCTTCCAAGGAGGCCTTCACAGGCTCCAAGGTGGTGGAAAAAGGAATAGTAAGGCCCACTGCATTGCCTTCAAAACAGCAAATTTTATTACACCACAAACTTGACTTAAGGCCCACAGGACCACAGCCCTAATACTTATACAATTCCTTACTGGGACCTAATCTTTGATAATTAAGTCTTGTATTTATTCTATTAACTATATAAGCATCTTCTATTAAACATTCTCTGTAAGATATTTTCTCAGGGAGAGCAGTATCCTAGATATACATGCTCTCTATTGACAGAATAGCATCAATTAATTCTGACATTCTACTAAATCAATTTAAAATGTATCAATACTTATATAGTGTTTTGTTTAAAAAGCTGAGGTTTGAAAATTACAGTATGTGTTAAAAATGCTGTAATTTGAGATATAAACATTTGTGAAGTCAGAGTAAGGAAGAAAACCCCCACAAATGTCAAAATCCAACCCCAAAGAAAATAAAAAAGATATTCAATAAGGATGACATAAGAATCAGTGTCTCTGAGCTGTTCTTGAGCTGTTGGGAGTACTAATTATCTCATAACCACTAAAAAAACAAACAAATGTGTTTTGGAGGAAGTGCAAGCAGGGTGTTGCTAAGAGGCAAGGATGCCAAAATTTCCTCTCATACTCTGGGCATGCTGTTAAAGAGGGTTCATTCCTTGGAAAAAGACCTGCTTAGAAAGGTGGAGGGTTAGTAAAAGAGAAAAAGACTGTCAACAAGATGAACTAATATAATGACTGCAGCAATGGGCTCAAGTATATCAGAGATGGTGAGGGTGGCATAGGACACGGTACAGATCTGTTGTTATAAGGGTCACTCTAAGTTATATTTGACAGCTCCGAATAACAATTATGAAAAGAGAACCATAGTGGTGTAGTGCATAATGTAGCAGACTCTTAAAAAGCCAATGTTTCAAATCTACTAACCCTCCCAAGGGAGAAAGATAGGTTGTCTCCTGAAGTAAAAATTTAATGCTTAAAAAACTTGAAGGGACTCTGAGTTGAATTAAATGAACAGCAGTTGCTTTAGTTTATAAATATTAAGAGGTGCTTTGTAAAACATATTTGTATATTTTCTAATATATGTTCCTGAAGATCCTCTTACTTTATAAAATTATACACCTTAATAAAGTATGCAACAGTAGAATTTGGTATGGAAAACTTAATATTTAAGTAAATTTGCAACTGGAATTAACAAAAAGAATTAGTTAAAAAAACCCCAAATTAGTTATAAAAAACACTAGTGTGATTAAAACCCCTAGGAGAAATATATTACAACTGATACAGAAATTTTGAAGGAAAAATGGGAAGACAGTATCACAGTGGAAGCTTTAAAGGATAAGTTATGTTGAAAGGGACAGTGTTGAATTATGGAAACATGAACAAAAGAAAAATGAAAGATTAGAGATAGTACCTGTAAGACCAAGCACATGCCCAAGAGTATGAGTAAGCACAGCTAGGGCTGGTTGCATTCCACTGTGTCAACATACTCTAAATTCAGTTACTATATGGTATAAGCTTGCTGAGGAAAAGAACATGATGGAGCCAGTCCAGTTTCTAGATTATATATATGGACAACATCCATCTATTATCCAACGTCTATCTAATTCATGCGACATACTATTCATTTTATAGCAACAAAGCTGAACAAAGTCATAAAAATCAAATTTCTTGTGAAAATAATTAGAAATCATTAAAAAAAACCCATTAAAGTAATTCTAATAATGGTGTAGTTTTCTCTAACTTTCCATAGGCAGTATCCTCCTTCAAAATGTAAGGCTTTTGGCAATGCCAACCCAGGTAACTCATTCAGAAATCTGGTTACCTTGTTACTGACTTCCTTTACTATGAAAAAAGAAGAGTTTGAAAGGTCACTTAGAAAACAAATTAAGACTAAAGAGAAGACTGACCCTTGGCGATTTGAGTGTTTACTAGATGCCTGAGGAGAGATGAGCAGGATATGAGAAAATACATGAAAAAAGAAAGGCGGGTATTTCTAAGGCAATATTAAAACATTTTGCCTTGTTATGAAAAAGTGAAGAAGATCTCCTTTTCCTCTTTCTGTTTCTCTTACTCAGTCCCCTAGGTCCAGAACTCAGTGATAAGGAATCATGCTGTTAACAGAAAGGTATGTGGTTTGAATACACCAGTCACTCCACGAGAGAAAGTCAGGCAATTCTCCCATGCAACTTACTACAGTCTCGGAAAATCTGCTGGGGAGTCAGTTCGGATTTAATGGCACAATAACAACAGTCTATGATTTAAACTGAATTTGTGAATTACTGTAAGAGATTAATAACTATCATAAAATCAATCCTAAAAAAAAAAAGAGATTAATAACTATCTTGATGTAGTTTTCCCCATGGAAAATGTATACAAAGTTTTAATCAACTCATTTTTACACTTATAGAGTATAATCTAATTATAAATCATGGGAGCTCTGGTAGTGCAGTCCATAAAGAGCCATGCTGCTACCCAAACTACGTCACCTTGGCAGTTAGAATCCACCCGCAGTTCCCTGGGAGAAAGGTGGACAATCGTATGAATAAGTTCTGGCTTCACAGCAATGAGATGAGTTAAAGACCACGAATGAGGATTTAGTTATTAACTCAGTTGTTAGTGCTGTCCTTAACATAATTAAAAACTGTTTTACTCTTCTATCTTGTCTTAAAATGACACACAATCAGGCTAAACAAAACAAAAAACAAAAGTCTTAAATCTTCGATACGGTTCTCAATCAGCAATTCTCAAAGTTATATCTTACCTTTAAAATCATCTCGGGGTCCTTCTTTCTTATTCATTTTTATGTCAGCGCAGGAGTTGTTATGGGCACCTTTTGAGTTATTCTCAAGGTAAGCTGAACTTGCTCCTTTCTTGGAGGGATGAGGATCACAGAGTTTTGCATTAATTTTATAAAGCTCAAGGGCTTTAATAGCTGCTGCATTGTTATCCATTCGAAGAAAAGTTGGACAGGAAGCACAAAACTCATTCGTGCACACCTCATTTCCACAGCCCTCAGTTAACTGGTGGTAGTAGCGTTCTATTAGATGCTTTGCAGCTGCACGCTTCCTGTGCCAAACATTGAAACAATAAGCACAGTGACTAATTAGTACAGATCTCAAGTAAAATAGAAAAACATCATCAGCAAAGCAAAAAGTTAATCAAGCACTGATGTGATAAAGTTCCATACCAAGATAAAGAAAACAGAGATTATGTGCCCAAAATGTGTATTTTCACAATTTTACTTCAATGGCTTATAACTGTGTGAACTGCCATCAATGACGAACTTTTATGCAGACCTAGAATTTTCTTTCTTTCAATTACCTACAAATTTAAAATTAAATTTACAAATGAAATATCCAAACCAGTGTGATACTGCAAAAAACTGTGAGTCCAAAGCATATAATCTGGAACTCAAATCTTATCATTAAACTTACTAATTAACTTCATGCCAGAAACATGGACCGTACATTCCATTACAGTAGAAACTCTACATTATTCTTGTTTTATAAATTTAATGTCCATTAAAAAAACGGTCCATTTTTGCTGCTCCAGCAAAGCTCCTAAGGACACTGATGAAGAAATGCTTTCATCATGCAAGAACTTATTACATTATCTATTTGCAGTATATCTGATGACGTGAGGTTTTAACATTACAGGTTTGAACTACACAGGTCCACCAGAATGAGGACTTTATTTTTTTAAAAAGCTATGTGATGCTCATGGAAACAGCTCAGATGTCCATCCACAAATGAATGGATTGAGAAGTTATGGTACACTCATACAATGGAAAACTACAAAACATGCAGAAGCAATCACTTTGTAAATTACTACCTAACTTGGGAGGGACTGAAGAACATTATGCTAACTGAACTCACTCAGTCCCACAAGGACAAATACTGTATAAAAATCATTATTGTAGAATGTGTATAAGGATGCAAGGGGTGTGTGTATGTGTAAATAGAGAGGAGAGAATGAGGACGAGGGAGCGTGTTTGCACAATTCGATGGGTGGGCAAGGTGAAGGAAATGGGAAGGATCTTTTGTGAAAAACAATGTATTTAAATTTGTAAATAAATCGGAGTAATATAAAAAAAGGGGGGAAAAAGCTCTGTGATGCTAATCATTTGCTTGGGTGCAGTTCTTCTCACATGCTCAATGCAGGAAAAAAGTGATCTCTTACATGCTGCTGTGTTGTTCATCTATGCAGTGCAATATTGTAAACTATAAATAACACTATGGGGCTCATACAAAATATTCAGTGTTCTCAAGAAGCACAGAAAAATCATGATGTTTAAGAAAAAGCTGCACTGGATGGGGGGAGGGAAAAAAAAAGAAAAGAAAAAGCTGCACTGCTTGGTACGTACCATAGTTAATGTTTGTAGTTGTGGTTGTCCATATCATATCCTACTCTTCCTTACCCCACCCTAGCCTAGCCTAGGGTATGCTACCCTAGTGTAACCTAGCCTAGCCTATCATCCCAGCAAAAAGACTATAAAAACAAAAAGGAAAATGTAAAAGCTGCTGCTGTAGCTACACCAGCAAATTAAAAAATCTTGCATTTTTTTCCCAAAATGCCCTTTTCTGTAGTAGTGAAAATAGTGCATATAATAAGTGAAATAAGTGCTAATCAACAGGTTATGTTATCAGAGAGGTTTTTGGTGAACAGCAGACGATTAGTAATTGGAAGAAACTCAAAACTTAAAAGACTTCACCTGTGCAGGGAGAAACCCCTGCAATGTTCAAAGATGAATTGTAATCTATTTGATCCAATGAAGTATAATTCATACTATTCCTTTTGGTCCCAAATTCACAACCATGGAAGTAAATACGAGGAATGAAAAAGTAAAAAAATAAAAACCCCTTAATTATCAAAATATTCCTCAACTAGAATCTCACTAAGTATTAAATGGTAATGGAATCTAAGCACATCATGAGAAACTCAACAAGACAAAAAGTAGATCAACAAGTTTAATTATATTTCAAAAGCTGAACTTTGTTCCCAAACCATCAATTTAAGTAGCAAAAAGTGGTAATTCAAACACACTTCAATTCATTCTAATACTTTGGTTTTCCAAGTGCTCCATGCAAATTTACTTCTCATTGCATGCAGAGAAATAAAACCTAGAACATATGCTTTAAAAAGTGCATGACATGATTGCTAGAAGCAGTTTTAGTAATTCTACTTTTGAAAAAGACAACATGCAAACAAAGAGAAACATAGAATCTAAAAACTGTATAACATATATTGCTATTCTTCAGCAAAGACTAGGAGATTAATGTCCTCCTCTCCCAAACTACAGGATTTACCTTAGTGAGAACATAAGCAGGTATGCCCTTTCTGGAAGGAAATTACAAACAAACACTGGCACATGGAGGGGCCCTGTACACACCTTCCTACACCCCTAACTCTCAAAACCAATTATATTTTCCCTTTTAACATACCACTTACCCCCACCCAACAATCTCTGAGACTATCTCTATCCTAGCTTGTCCTGGGTCTTAAAAGCAAAAATAGAATGTATTCTATCCCCACATTCTCTATATGGAATATTCTCTCTCTCACACACACACATACACACAAGCACACACACACCCCCCACCATGTGTGTGTTCTTAAAGATGATAGCATATTCATATATATCAATATGAATTATATTCGTGTGTGTTTGTTCTTAATGCAAAAATGACTGCAGCAAGTCTGATGTCTACTATTTAAGTAATGGAAGAAACATAGGGAAGTCCCTAACTATGCAAAACAATTACAGAGAAAGTCATGAATTAGAGGACAGATGCTTGGGAATTAGCTAAAATGTTATTGTTTCTTCTCTTAATTTTAAAATTTATAGTAAAATTAATTTTTTAAAAGGCAAGGAAAACATAGAAATCAGCAATCCCACCTGTTGTTGTAGTTGTTGTTATGTGCCGTCGAGCCGCTTGCAACTCATAGCGACACTGTGTACAACAGTCCTAAACTCTGCTCTGTCCTGTGCTAATCGCACCGTCTCCAAAACACCATCCCAGTCACTGAATCAATCCACCTCATAGAGGGCCTTCCCATCTGGCGCTGTCCCTCCACCCTACCAAGCATGATGTCCCTCTCCAAGGACCATTCCCTCCTTACAACATGTCCAAAGAATGTTAGACGGAGCCTCAGAATCCTTGCCTCCAAGGAGCCGCCTGGTTTGACCCTTTCCAGGATGAATCTGTTTGTTTTCCTAGCAGTCCATGATACGCTCAATAATCTTCTCCAGCACCACAGCACAAAGACATCAACTCTCCTATCTTCCTTAGTCATCGTCCAACTCTCTGATGCATAACAAGTGATAGCAAAGACCATGGCCTGTATCAGATGCACCTTAGTCTCCAGAGAGACACCACTGCTCTTCAGTACTTTGGAGAGGTCCTTAACAGCAGACTTTCCCATGGCAATACGCCTTTTAATTTCCTGGCCACTGGTGCCGATAGTGTTGACCATAGAGCCAAGCAAACTAAAGCTGTGAACAATCTCAATCTCTTCACCATCCATCCTGATGCTGCCAATTGGCCCAATTGGTGAGAATCCTTGTCTTCTTGACATTGAGCCTCAATCCATATTGGAAGCTGCAGTCCTTGACCCTCTGCAGCAAGCGCTTCAGGTCCTCTTCGGTTTCAGCAAGCAGGGTTGTGTCATCTGCATAATTCAGATTGTTGACAGATCGTCCACCAATGTTGACCCCACATTTCTCCTCATAGAGCCCAGCCTCCCGGATAATCTGTTCTGCACACAGGGTGAAAAGGTATGGAGACAGGACACATCCCTGGCGTATGCCCTTCCCAGTTTTGAACCATGCAGTGTTTCCTTGCTCTGTTCTGATGACTGCATCTTGGTCCAAGTATAGGTTTCTCATTAGCACGATCAGGTGTTCTGGGATTCCTATTCTTCTCAGAGTCAGCCACAGTTTGTTATGGTCCACACAAACACCTCTGCATAGTCAATGAAACACAGATATATACATTCCTCCGGTATTTCCTGCTTTCAGCTAAGATCCATCTAACATTAGCTACAATACCCCTAGTACCACGACCCTTTCTAAACCCAGACTGGACTTCTGGCAGTTCTCTGCTGATGTTTTGTTCCAGTCATTTTTGGATAATCTTCAGTAAAATCTTGCCTAGAAGAAGTAAATTAAATAATTTTGCATAATCTTTATTGTTTCTCTGGAATCTGGAATAATCTGATATAAGCAACAAGAGGAGCACTTACATGCAAAGTAATAATTATCAATTTTAAAGTACACATGGAGAAAATGTCAGCAGTATTTAAACTTAAGATACGTGATATGAATGGTCTCATTTACTATACTGTTATTAAAAACTAATTATCAAAATAAAATTAGCAAAGATTCAAGTCATATAGAATAGTATAAAATATATGTTTAGAAAACAGAAAACACAGTATAAGACCTGATGTTCAAAGATCTGATTTAAGTGTGATTTCCTTTTGCTTCTAAAAACCTGTATGATCTTAAGTAAACAGATCTACTCCCCACCTATCAACTGTCTCACTACTGATATATCACATTTAAAATAGTGAAAAATTTACTATGCAACTATTTTTTACATAAGAAGTGCACATCTGGGGAAAAACAAGAAGTGCACATGTGGTAGTAATAAATGCTGGAGAGTCAAGCGAGTCTAACACTCCCTGTGATGGCTAAGCATACATGTCAACTTGGCTTGACCATGATTTTCAGTGGTTTAGCAGTTTTATAATGAGATAATTTTTTAGTCATGTAATGATGTAGTCATCTTGGGACTCTTAGTAAGGAGTTGTGCTGCTAACCCATCAGAATCAGAATGACTACATCTGTGGAAAGAATTGTGGGAGAGGCTCAATATTAGCAATCAAAATAGATGGTAGGAGGAGGGTGGAAGCAGAGAAGTGAGGATGGGTTGGAGGGAGGTGACATTTAAAAGTGGGGCTGCGAAATTCGATGGGTGGAGGTGATGAAAGAAATGGGAAAGATCTACTGTGAAAAATAATGTATAAGTGAACTTTGTAAATAAACCAGTGAAAAATAAAAAAAA